TTCCCCAAACAGAACCTGACCTCTACAAAGAAGGTATCAAGTTACCTTCACCAGACGAGAGTGTTTTCTATTCCTCAGTGATCTACAGGTAAGACTGACACTGATACAGAATCACTCTTCTCTAATATTTCAGTTCATGTACCTGCATTTAACCAAGTTACATCACATGGTCAGCATTGCAATAATAAAGATTACGATAAGCGGTGCTCCACTAGAAAAAGCGGGGACGTTTAAACAAAGATAAACATCAACAGCTATTATCCTAAAAATCACGAGACAACTGTCTTTAGCTGTGCAGTGCATTTTACTGTATGCTGACCTGATGACCTATTTTATTCATCCTTGCTGCTGTTTTAAGCACAGTGAACCTGAAATGGATTTTTTACTCACACTATTGTGGAGTCTTAGTCAGAGAAGTCATGTAGACTTTTTTCAGTTTTGCACCCACTGTTTGTTTTAATCTTTTTGATAATTCTCATAGTTTTTCATTATCCTGTGTTTTACAGGCCACTTGCAGCTGAGGAACGGAGAAGATGATCTGTTCAAAGCTCTACCACAGAATGAATAATTCAAAATTTAAAAACTGTGCAAACATGTGCCACCATTGCTTTTTAACTCCCATGCATATGGACTATTTACAAACTGACAAATGCAGACTTGCTAGTTAGCGGGGGAGGAAGTTACACAGTCACATTCAGTGAAGGTTTTAAGTTTCTTATATATTTTCAAAGCTGTTAAAATGCTTTCAAAAAAAAAAAACCCTATAAAAAAGCAAAGTATGCTATTTTTTCCAGATTTTAAATGAATTACAAGAAACAGTTGGTTTTCTTTCCATTATCACAAGACATACTTGTTAAGTATAACAAATGTAGTTATTCTAAGCTGAAGCATGATCATTTTTCTAAATGTAACCAAGTAGTTTTGTTGTCTAAAGCCTAAACCACAGCGTCACTGTATGGCACATAGAGACAGGTATTGGAAGAGTTTAGAGTTTGCGCAGGACTTTGACACTGCATGGTCTAGAAACCATTTTGATAGCAGAAAATATGCCAGCTCCTTAAAGTTGAGTTTCAGGGACAGATTCTCAAAGGCAAAGAATAAGATCACAGAATTCACTGTAGAGGAGGAGGTGTAACTTCTACACTTTCAGAGGATGGTTAACTAACAAAATGTGTGGAAAAAAGAAAGAAATTGCAGATTAACATGTACTCATTCTGTCTCAGCTTTTTAAATTATATTAACTTGCTTTTTAATGGCTGTTTTTAATTGTATTAAATGTCCCTTAATTTGTTTCTTTTGCACGTTGTCTCCATGTTTTGTGTCAAGCACTTTGAGTCAGCTTGTTGTTGAAATGTAAAATAAACCTGCCTTGCACTTCCATCCATGACTGTTATGAGAATGATAAGAGTTGGTAAATGGAGATAAACAGTTGGTGTTAGTAATTCTGCAGTTATCTGCCATTAAATCATTGCAGAAGAAGAGTACATCAATCAGTTAATCAATCAATCAATCGAACAATCGGACAATCAATCAATCTTTATTTATAAAGCACTTTTCATATACAGATGTAGCACAAAGTGCTTTACATGGTTTCAACATTCTCTGCAGCCCTCAGGTCCTCCGGCAGGCCGTTCTGCAAACGGAGGGCATTACTGAAAAGATGCCTCACCGTGAGTACGCGTTCTAACTTTTGAAATAATTAAGAGGCCAATGCTGGAGCACCTCAGGGTCTGCGAGGGTTCGTAGGGTGCAAGCATTTCTGTAAGATAAGAAGGCCCAAGACCATGAAGACATTTAAAAACCATTAAAAGAACCTTAAAATCAGCCAATGCAGTGATTTTAAAACCAGTGTAATGTGGGCCTGCCTTCTGGTCTTTGTCAGTACCCATGCAGCTGAGTTATGTAAAAGTTGTAGGCCTGAGATACTTTTTCTGGGAAGACCAGAAAGCAGGGCATTACAGTAATCAATACGACTGGAGATAAAAGCATGCATCAGTATCTCTGTGTTAGCCCGAGAAACAAAAGGGCGGACTCTGGCTATGTTTTTTAGATGATTAAAAACCTGTTTTTGTTAAATGCTTAATATGTGGAATAAAAGTGAGCTCAGAGTCAAAAATGACGTCCAGGTTTTTAACTTGATTTGATGGGTTTAAGGACAATGCCTGCAGTTTAGATAAGTGTTTCTCTCTCTGAGCCTCAGGACTGATCATTAAAACTTCAGTTTTGTCCTGGTTGAGCTGTAAAAAGTTTTCTGCCATCCAGGATTTGATATCTAAAATACAGTTAAAAAGGGTATCAATTGGCCCTGTGTCATCAGGGGACATGGAGATGTACAGCTGTGCATCACCAGCATAACTGTGGAAGTTAATACCATGTCTCCTGATGACACGACTTAGTGGGAGCATGTACAAATTAAAAAGCACGGGACCTAAAATTGAGCCTTGGGGCACACCACATTTAATTTCAGCAAGGGATAACATAATGAAAACACAGCCAGTCAGAGCTCAAACAATGGAAAGCCATGTAGAAAACATGATGGAAATATGACATTTCTGTTTGTTTCATGAATGAATGTGAAGAAGTTACAGTCTCCTTATCGCTTCACAAAGATAAAACTTTGTCACATTTTGCTTTTATTAATTCACCAACCTCGCCATCTCCACCAGGCATAAAAACTTTGCGATATTTCCACTTATTATCGAATTGATGTTGTTTTTTAATGCACAAGTTGAAAATGCACATAAATACAGGTGCATGGAGATGCACTTACTGCCAGCTGACGTGAACTGATGGAACATTTTGAAGAAGTGAAACAGTTTGCAGCATGTGAAAGTGTCGTGTGGTTCATCATCTCCTCAGTCTTTACCTGGGGCTTTTGGTTTAGTCACATCATTCGTGTTTAATCTTAAAACAAGTAGTCTTTAAGAGTGTGACAGTTAAACCACATCGTTCTATCTGCTGTCTGCTCACACGTCTGAAGACGCTGCTGCAGTTTTTAAATACACTCAGTGTGGTCGACAACCAACATGGTGCAGTTACAGCTGTTTGACCTGAAGCAGACGCACTGAGTTTACAGCCTCTTTTATATTTAGCTACCATTAAACCATAAACTCAAACAGAGCGCTACACTGTTCAACTGTCAAGGTAACCTTGACGCATTAAATCGCCCCAGTATTTTACTTTCAGTTACGTGCTTACAGTCCAGTTCTCGCTCCTCACCCACTCCTTCAAGTACACACCTGTATTTGCTGTAATAAAGTTTTACACATTGAGATAAGAAACTGGGTTTACAATAAAAAAATAACTGACTGGACAGTTTCAAACTTGTGCTGGCATGCTTGTGTGTACAGATTTTGTCCTCTTTAATGTATTCTTATAAATAAGATAAGATAATAAGATCATGTCTAATAATATGTTTACTCAGGTAATAAACTGGAAGCATGCAAAACCAGGTGTGGAGAAGTACTATATGTGAAAGAGCCATATGAAGCCTTTTGTGGATCCACAGTCACATCACTTGACTCTGTATCATGTTAAATAAACTTGTATATTGTTCATAATTTCATGAATGTGTAGTAATGTTTTGAGTGTTCCTTTTAAAATATTACTTCACTTGCATTTTGGATTTTAAGGCCCAATCCCAATATAATATTTGCTTTTGCCTATACATTCATGACTACCACTCAGACAGCCTTTCACTGTCACTGATCTGCAGCTTCTCAGGAACATGCAGAATATATGTATCTGAGGTCTAGCTCACAGCAGCAGTGTCTATTTTAAGAGGCGTCAGGTTTTGAGACTTGTTGCTACTGCAAAGTTATGACAGGATAGTAAACGCTGCTGTGACACTGAATGCACAGTGATGGTCCTTGTTAGTTCAGTGCTGCCCCCTGATGTTCTGATGCTGTGTCAAATCATTGCTCTGCCTTATGCAGTACATTATACAGGTTGACATAGAATGAGCACCTCTACAATCAAGTACCTTTGATAATTATTAGCAACAAGAATCTTATCATTTGTAATCTGAATTTGTATCATATATAAGACCATACCAGGAAGTTATTGATTTTACTCTGGCACATTTATAGGATGTAGCTGCTATAAAAAAATGGATGAGTTTTACACCTTGTTTACGGCGCCTGCAAAGCAGAAGCAGCTGCGTCTGTCCTCTGCCAGAGTCTGCACCATCTGTACACTGCTTTGCACTCAGAGGCTTATTGACAGTCAAATTCACAATCAATGTAGGTATGAGCAAAAATGAACAAGAGACACTTGAAGCATAAAAAGCAGAGTGCCTGAGTTAAATTGAATTAAGCAGTGAGCAGTGTTGATTGTACCTAAAAGTGTATCAGTTCACATCAGATGCATGTGAAACAAACAGCTGGAAAATACACAGCTGGAAGGTGTCTTGTATAAAAATGGACAATGTCATCGGGAGCTGCTGTTACATGCTGCTTCTCAGCTGTGAAGTCATCTTTGTAGCTGACATGTTTTGTCTCTGACCTGCAGCTTATCTACTCTACAAAACACTGAGCATGTCTTTGCAGAATAACTGCAGCTTCTCTGCACCTCTTCAGTGATTTAAGTCTCGACATGTACGCTGTGTCTGTTGCTAATGCTGGTGTAGGTGTGACCTTGGGGTCTATGGCTAGATGGGAAGTAGTGTGGGAGCAGCAGGTAAACTGTGTGTATGGGACAGTAATAAAAAAAAAAAAGCTCCGTTCACTCTAAAAAGATTTTTGACCTCTACATTTGTGTCCCATTAAAGGCAACTTTTTTTTTTTATTTATTTATTTATTTTTTTTACCAATAGTAATCCTATAAAGTGACGACATTAGGAGTGGGTCCCCATTTTGTTTGTAAAATGCACACACCAGTACATGGGCAACACACTTATCAATCCTGCTGATGGTTTCACACTATTCCACAGATCAACAGTTGAAGGTGGTAATGCACAAAGAAGCGTATATATGTAACAAAAGCAAAAAAGATGAGCATTGTTAGTGAAATAAAAACAGTTCACAATGTTTAATATGGAAGGAAATTCAGCAACGCACTACACACAGTTTGTTTTGGCGAGAAACACTAAATATAGACAGATATTTTCTTTCTTTTTTTTTTTTTTAAACAAGACATCTCCAGACACTGTGTTGTATTGGTGGGATACAACAAAGGACTCTATTTCTTTAATATTACACAATAGATATAGAAGAGAGATAGAAGAGATGTTAAGTTCAAAAATATAAAACTGAAACCAGGTTTTTTCTTTCACAAAAACATTAAAGAATATTTCAGTTCGATAGCCTACATTTAAATGAGTTTCCCAGTATTCCAGAAGGATTGATTTGGGTCGAGTTCTCGCCTTTTTGTTTTCAATGAAACTGGAAGTTCTTGATGCGCACAAGAGGGACGGTAAAAGAGAGAGTTTCTGCAAGGCCACTTGTTTGAAAGTATTTGGCTCTGCATCCCCAGCAGTGGGAGAGATGTTTAGTGTAACATACAGCAGAGAGCAGTGATCATTATCTGTGCGAGGAACACTGTGCACACTTGAAGATGAAGACGCACTGAGGGCGCAGCCCATAGCGCAGAACCTGTTGTGAGTGAGACTCAGAGCCAGTGACTGATGATGATGATTTTTTTTTTTTTAACAACAGGAATTTGTGTTTTTAATCAGGCTCAGGCCCAAAACTGCTGCTGTGTTGATAGTAAAACACTCTTTACCAGCTGTTTAACACCATGTTATTTTTTGTCCATGTGGTTCTCTGACTTTTCTGTTGTTCTAACAATCACACCTTCTGTCATCTCCAACAGTTTCTCAGTGTCCAGCACCAGTGTCTCAAGTTCCATCAGTCTGTCATTCAGGCTCCATTTATTCTGAGAGATTATTTCTTTGAGCTTTATGAATCCTGGTGAACTGATGAATCCTTTATCTTCATCCTTCTCTCTTAAATCTCTCTCCACTGACTGAAGCTTTGTCTCACTGTCCTCTACCAGTTTCTCCATCTTTATCTTTTGACTATTCAGTTTATCTTTCTGCTCCTTCAGTCCCTCCATCTGTTTCATCAGTGCATCCACCATGTTTTTATGTTCTTCCTCTGCCATGAGCCGCTGTGCTTCTCCTGGTGAGGTCATCTTGGTTTCTGTTAGCAAACAGAGACAATATACTGTTGAAGTGTGCGTCTATTTGTTTGATTGTGCATGGAAACAGTGTTGAAATTAAATGCGACAGTAATACTAAAATAATTACATTTTTTTCACATTTTATTGCTTCTTGAACCTTTTACCTACTTTTCCTATTACTTTAGCCAAAATAGACAGACAGTAGCATAAATACATTTGTAACTTACTGATTTTGTTCTGTCTCCATTTCCATGCAGCAAAACCAACTGCAGCAACACAAATGAAGCAAGCAACCAAACTGATGCTGATACAGGCTGCAGAACTACACGGGGCCACAAAGAGATCATCTGAAATAATAAAACAAAATTGCGTTATAGTTAAAACCCTGTTATATTTCACACACCACATCATACATATGGCAAGCCGTTTTAACATTTAATAGCTAGGTTGGATATGTATTGCAGATATCCTTAATTCAATTCTTCCTATTCAAAAATAACATTTCAGATATCCACAACTACATTTTTACTAGGACAAATGACATCACTTTTCTTGTGTATGGGGTTTCTCATTACAGATATCTACATCTGAATTACGACTATCCCTAATCCCAGTTAGAGATATCTACATCATATTTTCGACTAGTCGTAATTCCAGTTCAAGATATCTTCAACCCCCCCTTGATTCAAGATATCTAAAAATACAATTTAGATATCTTAAATTGAGTTTGACCTAGTCAGAATAACACTGTAGATATCTTGAAGTGGAATTATGAACAGTCAAAATTATGTTGTAGATATCTCAAACTAGAATTAGGGATAGTCGTAATTTAATTTGTTGTTTGTTCATTTTAATTTAATCTGTAATCAAGTTGTGGATATCTTGAAAATAATTCTGATAAGAGATATCTCAAATTGGAGATATCTTTAACTCTCATTCTGCCTAGGCAAAATGTAATTGCAGATATCTTGAATCAGGGTTTTGACAGTTATCTGTAAAAGTGGGAGCCGGGAGCGGCTTGTTATTCAATGAATCAAACCCATTCAAATCATCGACCACTGAAGCAGTATTTCTCCAGCCTAGCTATGAATCAGAATCAGAATCAGAATAACTTTATTGTCCTTATTTGTCTTGAACAACAAGGCGGCTGCGGCTCACAATTTAAAATACAAACAACATTCACAAGACGTAGAGCATATGAGGACAGTTCAGTGCTTAGATGGTATCTGGGAAGTCCATCCGGTTTTTTGCACATGACCCAGCAAAGAAAAGTGGTTTGTGCAGGAGTTCGAGTATTGCACATGACCCAGTAGAAATATATTGCACAAATTCGAGAAAAAGTGACCTGTGCAGTGATCAGTACACAGATAACATGGCAATGACATGACATAAAAAAAGAAAACATAAGATTATTGCACATGACCCACCAAGATTTATTGCACAAATTCAAAAGTGATCTAATGATCAAAGATAGGATAAGCACCCATAATAAAACCACAGGCAAGTGCAGTTTTTAAAATTAAGATTTTAAAACTGAGATTGAGCAGGTTGTTTGTTCAGAACAGCAATTGATGCTGGGAGGAAAGAGAACCTGTACCGGTTTGTTTTATACCTACAGGCTCTATATCTTCTACCTGAAGGCAAGAGTTCATAATCTGGGAACAGAATATGTGAAGGATCATTCAGGATACGATGAGATTGTTTGAGTACAGATTCTTCATAAGTAAGCTGAAGGGACGGATAATTTTTTGCACCGATCACCTTCATGGCCACTTTTATCATTTTCTCAATCTTAGATTTGCTCTGTGTAGTGAGGGAGCCAAACTAAGATGCTAAGCCGTATCTGATCAGGCTACCCAGGACAGCATTATAAAAAGTTAACATAATTTTACTGTCCACACCAAACAATCTGAATCAGTGGAGGAAATGCAATCTCTGAGCCAATTTGTTGCATAGAAAGTCCACATGTTCGTTCCATTTGAGTTGATTATCTATCATCACACCCAGATATTTGTAGGAGCCAACCTGTTCAATTTTGTAGTCATCTATGACTACAGGATCGTGTGTGCCCACACCTCTGGGGTCAAAGATCATTTCTTTAGTTTTTGTAAGATTAAGAGAGAGATGATTCTTTTCACACCAGATCTTAAAAGTGTCAGCTTCTTTGTGGTACACCAAGGGGGAAACATCTGCTCGTAGCAGGCTTAAAATTACAGTGTCCTCAGAGAATTTTATCATGAAGTTATTCGCCTGGTCACTTCTGCATTCATTAGTGTACACAGTGAATAAGAAAGGGGAGCTCACAAAGCCTTGGGGAACTCCAGTGCTGCAGTATTTTGTTTCAGATAAAGTTCCATTTATACAGACCTGTTGTGGTCTGTTTGTTAAAAGCGAGTGGAACCATTTGACCACAGAGGGATTCACATTTAGGTCTAAAAGCTTATCTATAAGCAGCTGTGGACAGACTGTGTCGAATGCTGACGTAAAATCAGCAAGTAAGACTCTGGCGTAGGCCTTAGGGTCTTCAAGGTGTTTGCTGATTAAGTGAGACACACTAATTATTGCATCTTCTGTACTATGCCCTGCTTTATAAACAAATTGGAGGGGGTCGAGACAAGAGGATATCGCAGGTTTTATCATGTTTATTATTATCTTTTCAAAACATTTCATAACCGAGCTTGTTAAAGATATACTTTGGTCTGAAATGCTTATTCTCTGTAGGACACGTTACCTTTGGAACAGGAATGATTTTTGATTTTTTCCAGAGCTCAGGGACAGTGTGATTCTTTAAAGACATATTAAAAATAAGATGCCATGCCTCAGTCAGTTCAGATGAGCAATATTTGTACAGACATACAGGTAGGCCATCAGGGCCTGTGGATTTCTTATTGCATACATTTTTAAAGACTGACTGTACCCGTAGGGGATCGATTTCTACCCAATCAGATAGGACATCAAGAGAATCAAGCATGCCACACTTTTCTGAAGGAGAGGAGTTTAGAGAGTCATGTCTTAAAAAGAAGTCATTAAGATAATTTGCTCTGTCCAAATCATTCAGCGTCATAATGTGCTTTTTACCAGAAGGCATATTGGTGACTTTTTTCATAGAGTTCCAAAGTTTTTTATTGTCCATTTTGCAGAAGCTCTGTTCAATTACTCTGCGATGTTTGTCTCTTGCCTTCCTCAGCATCATGTTCAGCTCCTTTTGTGCTACAGCCACGCCCATTTGATCCTTATTGTTGATGGCGAGCTTTTTTTTTATTGATGCAGGCTTTGACCTCTTTAGTAATGTGTGGTTTGTTGTTTGGGTAGTGGACCACACACTTTTTAGGGATGATGTTATCAACACAGAATTTAATATAATCTTTGGTGGTCTCTGTAGCCTCATTTAGTTCCAAGTGATGGAAAATGTTCCAATCTGTGCAGGAGAAGCAGCCTCTCAACGTGTCCACACTGTCCTCATTCCACTGCAGGATCGTCTTCTGTTGGGGTTTGCTCGATTTGAGTGCAGATTTGTATGTGGGCAAAAGGTGGACAGTCAGATGGTCAGAATTTGAGAGAGGAGGAAGGATCTTTGCTTTAAAAGCATCTTTAATGTTACTGTAGCACTTATCTAGTACCCTGTCATTTCATGTGCCCCGTTTGACAAATTGGTAAAAACCAGGCAGTGCAGGCTCCAGGCGACAGTGATTCAGGTCCCCTAAAACAAAAACAGGGGCCCCCGGGGTGCGTTGCAGTAGGATATGTACACTCTTTGCTATACCATCTGCAGCATTTCCACTGGGGGGAACATAAGTTGCACACAAAATAATGTTCCCAAATTCCCTGGGTAAGTAAAAGGGTCTCATGGATATACAAATCATTTCAAGGTCGGGGTCACATATCGTTTCTCTGATAGTTAGTTGACTGCACCAGCTGTCTCTAACATATATGCAAATACCCCCACCTTTAGTTTTCCCAGAGGAGGCCTCTCTGTCTGCCCGCACACATGAAAAGCAGCAGTTGGATCAAAAAGTCAGGAATATCTTTGCGGGGCCACGATTCCGTGAAGACCATGATACATGATTCTCTGTATTCATGGACGAATCGTGTGTTTAGTCTTAGCTCCTCCATTTTACTGCACAGTGATCTCACATTACTCAAGATGATTGAAGGAAGAGGTGGTTTATTACCGCTTCGTTGAAGATGTTGTCTGACACCTCCACGTTTGCCTCTCTTTTGCCGTTGTGGTCCACTGGCAGCCGGTCTCCTTATCACCTCCGAGGGCAAGTACTCCGGCGGTGAGTCCCCACTCCGCTGGCAGGCAAGCAGGAACTCCTTCGTGTAAACAAGGTGAAATGCATTATCCGTGGAAGGTGTAGAGGGTGGGAGCAGGCTCTTACAAAGTTCACTGATAGTCAGGAGAAGTAACAGTAGTGGTAGGAGAGTCTTCATAGTAAAAGACTTCAAGTGGTCCGCTTAAGTTCGCTGAGAGCCTCCGCTGCTGCAGTCAGTTAGCAGCTAACTAGCTGGAGGCTAGTGAGTGCTAGGTCCGAAGGCGGCGTCTGCTGGCGTCTCCCGGCGTCTCCCGGCGTCTCCCAAGTTTGCGGTCAAAAGTGTGTTTTTTCGAATGGACAGACTACCAGAGTTTGTGTGGACACACAAAGCACGACTCAGTTCTTGTGTGCCAAGTAAAACGTTAGTAAATACACATAAAAGAGGTTAAAACGAGCAACAAGTAGCCACAGCAGCACCGTGTCCATGTCGCCTGCAGTGCAGCGCCACCGGATGTGATGCTAAAACAAGTTTTTGACAGGGTTTTTCAGTGTTCAGTTGTATTGTTTCCTGAGCCAACATCCAATGGAAAGCTTGCCATAATGAGCAACAAATGGGATGCCTCGCATGAGCAATGTCTTGCACAATCGTCATAATTATGCTTGAGATATCTTTAACTTCCATTCTGCCTAATCGAAACTGAATTACAGATATATGTAAATGTAATTTAGGATGTGTGACGAGTCGAGTGTCGTTTTCAGTGACGTCATTGCTGATATCTGAATTACAGATATCTCTAACTGTCGTTTTGACTGGTCAGAATGAAGATGTAGATATCTTGAGTGACAATTCTTACTAGTCACGATGTAATCACGACTAGTCAAAATGAAGTTGTTGATATCTATAATGTTAATTAGTCAAGCATTTGGCGAATTCTTAGAACATAACTAGTCATGTGACAACCCCCAGACACTATGGGAAACAGCCAAGTGCTTCATAAGAGGCACATGCGTAGCCTTTGCCTCCAAGCTAAAATTTGAACGTGATAAACGACTTTCCGAAACTGAGGTGGAGATAGAGAAAGTGGAGAAGGCACAAAGAGAAACACTCACAGAAGCTGTGCTCGGTGCGCCAAGGGGAGAATATAGGAGTATATCCATAAGCAAGGCTGAATTTATTCTGCACAGAACAAAAGAGAGATATTATTATGATGGCGACCGGCCAAGTAGGTTATTAGCACTTTAGTTAAAAGAAAGCGAATCAAAAGCAGTGATAAATGCCATTCGAACAACGAATGGGGAGGTTGTTACAGACCCCAGCGCAATTAATGATGTCTTCAGGAATTTTTACAGCAGCCTTTACACATCCGAATGTTGTGCAGACACAGAGGACTGCACCTCATTTCTTCAAAAGTTGGTGCTGCCCAGTATAAACCATTCGTACGGCTTAAAACTAGAGGACCCCATCTCATTAGTAGAGCTTGAGACAGCAGTCAAAGCTCTCCAGAAGGGCAAGAGCCCTGGCACAGACAGTCTACCTCTGGAGCTGTATCTATCTTTCTGGGACCAGGTTGGACCTCTCATACTTGGTTCTAGAAATTTTGCCATTGAACAGGGATTATTTCACCGGAACCAGAGAAATGCACTTATTACAGTTTTACTCAAAAAAGGCAAAGATCCGCTGGAGTGTTCAAGTTATCGTCCATTCATTCATTCATTCATTCATTCATTCATCTTCTAACTGCTTCATCCTCTTGAGGTTCGCGGGGGGGCTGGAGCCTATCCCAGCTGCCATCGGGCGAGAGGCAGGGTACACCCTGGACAGGTCTCCAGACTATCACAGGGCTGACACATAGAGACAGACAACCATTCACGCTCATATTCACACCTACAGACAATTTAGAGTTATCAATTAACCTGCATGTCTTTGGACTGTGGGAGGAAGCTGGAGTGCCCGGAGAGAACCCACGCTGACACGGGGAGAACATGCAAACTCCGCACAGAAGGGCTCCCACACCCGGGATCGAACCGGCAGCCCTCTTGCTGTGAGGCGACAGTGCTAACCACCACACCACCGTGCCGCCCAAGTTATCGTCCAATCTCGCTTATTTGTGCAGATGTAAAACTGTATGCAAAGGTTCTGGTCAGTCGCATGGATACAGTAATTGGGAAACTGATTCATTTTGACCAGACAGGTTTTCTGAAAGGGAGAGTAGCAGCTGATAATGTTAGGAGGCTTGCTCATGTTATTGAAGCCGCAGATATTATGCCAGATGATTGCTCTGTCCTGTCACTTGACACCCATAAAGCCTTTGACAGGCAAGAATGGAATTATTTGTGGTTAGTCATGGAAAGGTTTGGATTTGGGCAGAACTTCATATCTATGATACAAACACTATACAATCATGCGACAACATCAGTTCTCACTGGTACTTGTCAATCACGAGCCTTCCCCTTACATCACGGCACCAGGCAGGGCTGTCCACTTTCTCCTCTGCTCTCTACCCTGTCCCTAGAGCCGCTGGCGCAGTCAGTCAGAGAGAGCGACACAATATCTCCCATAACTATAGACCAATCTAGACACTACATTTCACTATATGCGGATGACTGCCTCCTGTTCATATCCAACATTCAGACATCACTACCACAAATTCAAAAACTCTTTGACTGGTTCAGAGAAATGTCAGGCTTTAAAATCAACTGGACTAAGTCTGCCCTTCTTCCATTAAACGTGGCTGCGAAAAATACCAACTCGGCTGTTAACATCCCTATTTGTACATCCTTTACATATCTTGGCATTAAAATCTACCCTACTCTTAGCAAAACAGTTTGAAAAAGAAAATTACAGAAGATCTGAAAAGATGGAGTTCTCTTTACGTTTCTCTGCAAGGCAGAGTCACGGCTGTCAAATTCAGTGTCCTGCCTCGGATCAATTTCTTTTTCTTTATGATCCCCCTAGCACCACCACCCAATTTTATCACGGAAATGCACTCTCTCTTATCCCACTTTATATGGGGAGGAAAGCGTGCACGAATCAAACTTAACACCTTACAGAGAAGCAAACTCACCGGAGGGTTGGCTGTTCCTAACCTAAATTTTTATTATTATGCCTTTCAGATTAGGCCATTACATGTCTGGAGGGACAGAGAATCTGATATCCCTTGGCGGGCCCTAGAGGCAGCACGGGTGAAACCCCATCGATTGGAAGACCTGCTGTATACGGGCAGGGGGTGTAGAAACATTAACTTGTGCTATGGGAGCATTATAATCAACTCAGTAGCAGCATGGCAAAAAGTTGAGCTGATGATGGGCAACATAAGTTCTTTTTACAAAACATCTCCACTTTGGAATAACTATCGCTTTCAATCAGGCGGGCAGCCCTTTACGTCTCCACCGTGGTTAAATAAAGGTGTTTCCACTTATGGTGACATTTTTAACAACAAGGGACTTCATACATTTCAAGATATTAAAGAGACCTATGACCTACCAGGCACCTCCTGTTTTCTCTACTTAAGACTCAGATCCGCCATGAAAGCATATGGGGTGCCCTGGGACAAACCCCTGCCAGAACACCCTGTGGAGAAGTGGATTGGTCCTGGGCAGAGCTCTCAACGGTTAGTCACGCGTATATATAATTCTCTGCTTGATCGATCTACTAATGCACTGGCAGTTGAAAAGATGCAGGAAAAAGATCTTCAAAGTACGGATTCAGAGCGTGATTGGGAACGGATATGGTCCAATCTAAACATTACTTCTAAAAATCTGGCGCATCAACTCATACATTTTAAGATGATCCATAGAGCATATGCCACTCCTATCAAATGCTTTAAAATGAAACTGATTACTAATCCTAACTGTACTCACTGCCAAGCTCAGATGCCGGGTACAACAATGCACATGTTTTGGGAATGCTCAGTGATCAATGACTTTTGGGTTCAGGTTATGTCGTCTCTGTCAGAGCTATTAGGATCCGCAATATTGCCTAGTCCCCGCCTTTGTCTACTCAATGATGACTTGTCGCTATCTCTCAATTTGAACCAACGTAGATTACTGTTAGCAGGCCTAACTGCAGCAAAAAAGGCTCTACTGTCATTGTGGTATCACCCCAATATATGCTTGACTCACAATTGGATGGCCTCCTATCAGAGTATAGCTTCTCTTGAGTGCACAACGGCATGGCTCAATAGAGCCAGACCCACTTCTGTACAGACATGGTCCGACATAGCTGTATCCATAAGAGACTACCTCAAAAGAAGAGCTACACCCCTCCCACACCTTACCACACAATAACATAAGACCTTAGACATTCCTGCTTTAATAGTTTAAAGAAACTGACAGATATGTAATACATGTATATGGAATAATGTCTTTTAATAATGTTTTTTTTCCCTTTCAGTCCACTTCTGCTTTTATTTGGTTTCATTCATTACTGACAGGATTATTTTTTTTTTATCATTCTATAAAATACATCTTGTGACTCTGTCTTGTTTTTCCCTTATTTTTAATTGTTAATGTGCTACCTTACTGTTGTTGTTTGTTTTGTCTGTCCTTTGAAAATAAAAAATGTTGATCACCAAAAAAAAAATTAGTCAAGAATTAATAGTCAAGTTTAGTTATAAAATGTTAAAACAGCTTGCCATACATACATACATGTATCAGTGATTTCTACCTGGAACCTGGATGTGTGTCTCTCTGGTCTGGTTGATGTTTTTCTGTTGGACTCTACAGGTGAAGCTGTTGCTGTGTCTCTTCTCCACAGTCACTCTGCTGCTGACAGCATAGAGGTCATCAGGACCTCTGACTGTCTCTGTAGGTCCAGCAGAGAGGAGCTTTCCCTCACCGTCCAGCCACAACACCTCAGGCTCTGGATACCAGCCTGCAGACTCACACTGTAACACCACTCCACTGGAGGATCTGTCGATTCCTGCTAAACTGATGACAGCCTGGGAAGCAGTCCCTGATGAGCAGAGTGAGACATTTCAACAGCAGCTTAATGAGTCAATGCCTTTCTGACATATGCACTTGATTCCTGTTGTAGGTGGTAAAGTTGTCCAGATTCAAGAAATGTAGGAACACATGCATGACTTGAATTGCAAGTTTATTTTTTGGGAAAACTTGTGAAATGCATAGTTGAGTTTGATATTGAAAAGCTACATTTTGGGGTGGGGGGGATATGCCCCTTTAATTCCTTGCAATTGCCATTTTCTGCTATTGGCTGGAGTCAAACCATACATTCAGTCCAGCATCTGCGGAGCATTGATCACTAATTAGTCTAAGCAGCAGTAACTAAGAATATGAAGCATGAAATAGGTTAACACCAGTGAAACACTTTCCTGTAATGGCATTAGAGTAGAGGAAAGCTTTAATGTCCACAAAGGGCGTTTTTTTCTTACAAACACAAACAGCTATCAACAGACAATAATATTAATCTGTGCATGCTTACCAACAACAAGCTGAACAGTTGAGTCTTTATCCAAATCTGGAAAGTAACACCTGTATGTTCCCCTGTCAGAGAGTTTGACTTTGGAAAGTTTCAGTGAAATGTCTCCCTGCTTCAGTTGGTTAATAGACACTGATGTTCTTCCTTTGTAGGACGGATGTTGATTAACATGAAGGTTTTGATGTTCGTGCCACACATGGACAAATCTGGGGTTCAAATCAGGTCTCGCCCACTCAAACGTCATGCCAGCAGCATCAACAGCTGGTTCCAGACGGCATGGCAAAATTACGTCCTCACCAAACATCACGATTACTGGCTGGAGTGGTCCAACTACCTGAGACTGACCTGGAAAGAAACAGAAACAGTCAGACTCAGACCAGTCCAAGCCTTTCTATATCAGTGATGTTAAATATTTACCACCACTTTTTGTGTTTGTTGCGTGTCTACAGTCCCTGGATGGCAGTCAGATTACTTTATTAGCATCACTGATCAACATTTCTCAGTATCATAGCACAGAGAGCATCTCTTCCCACAGTAAATATACCAGCTTCAGTGTCTTGCCACACTTCATTGTTTTCAGTTAAACACACACTATTTTTTTCCTGTTGTGACTGTGTGTAAGTTACCTCCACAGCAGTGTGTCAGGAGAAGGACAGCAGTGTTAAAAAAGACTGAAACACTGAGAGCAGTCAGCCCAGATTTAGACAGCCTCTTCTTCAGGTGCATCATGAAGTTCTGTACAATTGAAATAAATACATGATAAATAGAATTAATGTAAACCAGCTACAAAATATGAACTCCAAAAGACAGACTGGGAATAGTGGGTATATGTGGTATCTGTACCTCAGCTGGTACAGGTTGGAAGGCTATGTTTTTGCCACTGGACATTATAAATTAAACCACGTTGATGCAGGGAGTCCCCCAAGGTTTGATTCTTGAGCCTCCAACATTCAATCTCAATATGCCCTGTATAGGCCAAATCATGAAAGACAAAACCGATGAGCCGTGATTTGCTATTATACGATTTATATAATCTCTATGCAGATCACACCCAGTTTTACCCTGCTCTTTCACTGAGTCTATGTACTCTTCAAGAAGTGTATATAATATAGTTTAGTAGTAACATTGTTTGAACTGAAAGTAAGCTGTGTTTGAAAGGTGATATTGTAAAAAGGGAGACAAAACAAAAAAGGAAACAAAAAATATTTCTGACACAGTATTTACATATACAGTACAGGCCAAAAGTTTGGACACACCTTCTCATTCAATGCGTTTTCTTTATTTTCATGACTATTTACATTGTAGATTCTCACTGAAGGCATCAAAACTATGAATGAACACATGTGGAGTTATGTACTNTAAATAGTCATGAAAATAAAGAAAACGCATTGAATGAGAAGGTGTGTCCAAACTTTTGGCCTGTACTGTATATATATATATATATATATATATATATATATATCAAAATGAATATCATAATCCAAGCAAAAGATCTCTTGAAGATATATTTGAAAATATCAAGGCAATGCTGAAGTCAGAGGCTGGTACAAAAGACACTTAGGAAAAGCAAAAGAAACGTCCTGACCTCATAGGCATTTAAATATTAAAACATGAATCTGAGGTGTATTTTATAATACATGTCACATACAGCCATTATACATGATGGACATTGCATAACAATAACATAAGCAAATCACCAGTGCACAGTTAAACGGGTGACAACCAATCCTCAGATGGCCATTTTGTGTGGTCCTCTACAAATATTTGTGTGGGAGTCTCTATCTCAACATGGCTGCCTATAACCGTTGGTAACAACTGTCAAAAGACAAACCTGCGCGCGGCAATAAAGATGATAAAACATTAACTAGTTGCATATAAACGTTCCACTCTGAACCTGATCCACCTGCTCACAATATCCAATGATAAAATGCTGGTTTATTACTGTTGTTTGAACAACTCTTATGTTGCACATGAAAACGAAGCAACCATTTTTATGCATTACAACATTATATATATTTTCTAAATATAGAGTAAATAATAGAATTGGAATTGGAATATCTATAAAAAGAGAACTTGTTTCTATAACTTTTTGTCAAAAGAATTAAAAAAGAAAAGCACAGTGCTGCACTTTGCTGCATCAGTGAAAGGGTTTCTAAGTAACAATGCAGTCAAGAAAATTACTTGTCAACTGATGAAATAAGTGTAGTAATAAAAATTACTTGTGCACAATTGTGACTGATGAATAAAACAAAGAAAAACAGATAATTGTGACGACAGACCTGCCTTTATTACAGTCAGTTAAGAAATTATTGCTAACTTCCGAAAAATAAAACATTAATGTTAGAAATTCAAAGATAAAACTGAATCTCTTACCTGTTTTGTGCCTCAGCGATGGTCTCACTGCAGTAAAGGAAGCTACACAGTCAAAGTCCTTAATCAAGGTACTCTGACCCTGGCTATCTGTAATAAGATGGGCGTGGCCACCAAGTGATTCTACATGTGTCTCACATCTCACAGCCATGTTCAGCCAACTGAACATTACTAAATGGTAATGCCCTTAATACTCAACTGCTCCAGTGGAGCTGCTTAGTAACCAGCAGATGAAACTGAGTGTGTGTAAGTGTGAGTGTCAGTTGCTCGTCAGTAAAGCTTTTTTTGTTGTTGTTGTATCTAGGCATCCAAGTAAATTTGTTTATATTTCACCACCATATAATTATATATTTCTATCTGTGTTCTGAGTGGTTTTGAGATATTGAGCTTCAAAGTTTTTGCATTCCAAATAGCAAAATTGATATGTGGATCAAACCTCTTTCATACACAATTTATCCAATTCATGGAATTATGGGGTTCTGTCTTGCAAAACATAAAAATACACTGTCCCCGTGGCAGGATAACATAGCTGTGGAAACATCATGGCCACCCCTGGTGTCCCTCCAGGTCTACCAGGTGACTATACAGCTAATTTTGAGCTGCAAAACCACTTTAACATTTTTTAAATGTTAGCACCACTAGCTGTGCTGCACTGCTAACTGTGCTAACAGAGCTAACAGCACTTAACAATACTAAATGGGGTTTGCTGCTTAAAATAATGGCCATGATGCCTCCACGGCAAAGCTGAATATCTCAATTTTGACAAAACTCAGATAGAACAATATATAGTGCTACTGTAAGGTGATGATTCACCCTGGTTTTAAATGTCTATCTCTTAAAAAATTGCTACCATTCTGCCACAATGTAGGACATTATGTCATATGGATTACTGTGATTTTATTTTGTTGATCTGTTTTGTACACACAATATCTATTGCACATCTGTCTGAAGATGAAAAAAAAAATGAAAAAATGAGACTTAAAATCAATGTGACTTTCTGACAGTCTGTCAGTTACTGTGAATAATCCACGGCCCTCAATGTCAGTAAAATGTTTGCCAATAAACCAAGATTTTACTCAGCAGGTTTACATGACTCTCTGTGTGACATGTGTCAGTGCAGTAACAATTATAACTTGCTCCCACAATGAAAAGATTGGTAATTCTTCTTATATCCCAATCCAACACATAACATTTCATATCCCCTACACAGTAAGTAAAATGTAAGTATTATTTATGTGACCCCACTGGATGTCTGTGATTTTGGTCTCAGTCAAATTTAAGCAGTGATGATTTATTATTTGAAAGAAAAAAACAACAACCCAAAACTGTTTTTTAAAAATGTTTTTCTTCATTTATATACAAAGCTTTTATGATTTGAATTCAAAGAAAACCATCACAAAGATACATCAGAAATAATCATCATCAAATAATCATTAGATATTGGTCAGAAAAAACTTAAATTCATTGCCAGTGAGCCACAGATAGTTTTAGAAAAAATAGTATTTGGTAGAGTTGATAGACAGTACTGAAAACATCAAACACATAATCCAGCCAAGTTTTGCAATTCACTCTAAAATGTATTTGCTCCTGAAAATGATCTGTGCATGAATCTAATAATTTTAAATCGGTATTGTCCAGTAATTACTTCCACTCAGTCGCTGTACTGACTATAGTATTTATTTTCTGCAGTAACTGCTCCACATGCAGTACCAGTTTTTCCCGTTCTGTCTTGTGCTCATCTAGCTTCCATTTGACACCTAACAGGTCTTGTTTTTCTTTTAATAATCTCTGTTTCTCATCTGTCCTTTCTCTCTCACTCTCTGTTATTTTCCTGTCCACTGACTGAAGCTTCTCTTTGTTCTCCTTCTTCTGTCGCTCCAACTCTTCAAGCTGTGAAAGGAGTTGACCTCTGTGATTCTCAAGTTCTCTTCTGATTTCCTTCAGTGAATCCAGCACATTGTCTTTCTTCTGTATCATCTCATCATAGTTTGATAATTTCTGCTGTAATTCTGTCAAAGATAATTAACATTAAAAGATTTGTATTACAGACAAAATTAAGACACAATTCAGTTACAGATCAAGAGTCTGACTCACCTGAAACTTTCTTCTTCAGTTCTTCATTCTGTTTCATCACATCTGCCTTTTCTGCCTCTGTCCTCTGTAGCTGTTGCTTCAGTGCATTCAACTCTTTAGTCAAGAAGTGATAGAAGATCAAAGAGACATTAAAGCACAAATGAACTAAAAACAGTACTTAATTAAACTGACAGTGAGCACACAAGCTCAATAAGGGGCCCAGAGCAAGAATCATCTGACTCTGTGTGTATTCATTGTGTTTTGTGTCTTTCTGTGTGTTGATTATTTTGTCATGATTGGATTTAAGAGCATGAGATGGATGTCAGGCCACCTAGGTGGAAGGAAGTTCAGGAGGTGGTCAGGCGTGCAAAGGCTTCTTCGGCCCCAGGGCCTAATGGAGTCCCCTACCGGGTTTATAAAAGTGCGCCTGATACCCTTAAATTTTTGTGGAAACAGCTAAGAATAGTTTGGGAAAAACAAATTATACCAAGAGCATGGCGTAGGGCAGGGGGTGTCCTCATTCCTAAGGAGAAGGAGTCTGTGGACCTTAGCCAGTTCCGGATGATTTCTCTCTTGAATGTGGAGGGGAAGATTTTCTTTAGTGTAGTAGCGCAGAGACTAGCTAGCTACTTAGAAAGGAATAGCTTAATAGATACCATGGTGCAGAAGGCAGGAATACCAGGTTTTTCAGGGTGTTTAGAGCATACTAGCATGATCTGGCACCAGATTCAGGCAGCGAAGATTAACAAAAGGGACCTACATGTAATATTTTTAGATCTTGCAAATGCGTTTGGTTCAGTACCGCACAGCCTCATTTGGAGTGCGTTTGACTACTTCAGAGTGCCACAGGTAGTTGTTAACTTAGTGAAAGCATATTTTCAGGATATTAGGTTGTGTCTAAGTACAGCAGGTTTCACAACAGGTTGGCAGAGGCTAGAAATAGGCATCATGGCAGGGTGTACAATTTCTCCATTAGCATTTACTATGGCAATGGAAGTAATCATCAGGGCTTCTAAGTGGGTGGTAGGTGGGGAGAGACGGCAGAATGGGTTGCATCTTCCACCAGTTAGGGCTTACATGGATGACATGACACTGGTGACCACAACAATGCCATGTACAAAGAGGCTACTAGAGAAGGTAAATAAGAACCTCAAGTGGGCCAGCATGAAAATCAAGCCTAGTAAATCTAGAAGCATCTCGATATGTAGAGGGAAGTTAAGTGATAGGAAGTTTGTCATAGATGATGAGGACATCCCAACAATTAGGGAAAAGTCAGTAAAGAGCTTAGGTAGGT